ATCAATAACATGGAGACCAAACCTGTACCCATCATTCTAGTGCATTGCATTTGAGCTTGAGGTCCATTCCAGGCTTTTAACTAGAAGATCATGACATTCAATTCGACTTTTTTATTGCCTCCACCAATGGTCTAGGAGGTGCAAACGTTGTATCAACATAAACGCCTCAATCCTTTTTTCATAACAGTGGAAGCAGAAGCTCGGTTTTTGGACAATCCGCAGCAGGATGCGATATGATTGTGGATCATGGTGCAGTATCATTGTGTATCATGGTGCGGTATCATTGTGTATGATTGTGTATCATTGCACGTTGCCCCCTGGCGACGCAGTGGCCGAGCAGGGTGCGAGGCTGGATTCGGATCCCATGGCCGAGGTGAATCAGGATCAGGATCTCTGCAGCGGACTGAGAGACGCAGCTGGTGCTGTCTCAGCAGGCAGCCCCGCCCTGACATTGGAGATTCTACACCGGATCAAAATGGATCCAGTCCCCACTGTCGATAAAATCAGGCGCCTGACGCCAGGTGCTGTTTTCCTATTTCCATCCATCTTCTTTCCACTTCATCCACTTTAGGGCCGTGGGAGAGCCGGAGCCTATCCCAGCAATCAACGAGCACGAGGCAGGGTACCCCCCGGACAGGACGCCAGTCCACCACACACTCACTCCCGGGCCAGTTTCCCCCAAAACCGATCACCCTGCCCGTACGTCTTTGGACCGCGCAAGAAAACCAGAGAACCACGAGGAACCCCAATCGAACAAGGGGAGAACATGCAAACTCCACACAGACAGCACACAAGGAATGGATCTCGGAGCCTCGGAAATGCGAGGCAGAGGTCCCAACCGCCATCCCCCCTGCTCTTGTTTCCATTCTTGGATGCAGTGAAAGTAAGGATTCAGTGCCACTTGCTGCAGACTGCCAGTCCTGCAGGAGCCCAGACTGCTCTGCTGATGCTTGGATCCAAAGCCCCTGAACAACTTTTCCATTCCTTCTCTCCACTCTGGGGAGATCCATGTGGAGATCCCTGCTGAAGGGCACCACAGCAGCCCCCCAAACCAGGATTCGAACCCGCAACCTTGTAGTTACCAGTGCTAGAGCCCCTGTCCACTGCGCCGGCCTACCTCCACCATGTGAGCTGACGAGTACATTGCAGACGAAGGAGAAAAAGATTCTTTTTTTTTTAATTAACCCTGACAAAGAAAGAGCTCCTTGCACAAGGCAGGTCAAAGAGCGCGTGAGAGTGAGATTGTGGGCCCTGCCCTCTCTCTCTGAGGCGGCCAGAGGCATCTTAGGCAGCAGGTGTCAAAAGCAAGCCCCACAGTGCCCAGCTTTAAATTCACACCGCACTGCCGAAAGGACAGGAATAGCTGTGCTGCTCTGGCAGAATATTCTTTTAATTCCTCCGCACTCTTGGGCCAGAGAACACTCTGCTTTGGCCTCAGCAAGACTGTACAAAATCTAGAAGTTCTAAGAGCTGTACTGGCCTGACCAGTGATTCATAGAGTTGCAGGGTTGCCAAAGAAGTCTTAATAAATATGACCAACATTCAGCACAGTGACTTCATTACTTTTTGAGAGCCTTTCTCTCGCTCTCTGTCCTTGGGCTGAGACAGGAGCTGACACACTGGGCTGCGGCTCTGCTGAGTTTCCTCCCCCAGTAGGATCGGGAGCTGTTCTGATTCCAGAAGGTGTGGGAATTCTGGGATTCGATTTCTTATTTAAGGGAGGTGTGGTGACTTTCAACAAGCACACAGGAATGAACTTCAGCAGGCTTTACTGTAATTTAACGATTTTACATCATTTACATATTTTTACAGTTAGCGACACGTTCTCAGTTGCTTGCTGTCTCTCACCTCCCCAGCCCGACAGGCAGACAACCAGCAGATCTGGTCCCGATGCCAAACAACACTTACCCTTCAGGCGACAGGAAGAATGTTTGTTTTTGCGGCTGCTCCTACCGTTGTTGCACACGCCCCTGGAGCCCGTGGGTTCGCAGACTCTTGATCTTGTGTTCATCTGCAACCTCACTGCGAGACCCGGGCCGGAGGTGACAAACTGGCTTTGACTGGGAATAACAGCATCCAAGAATTTAGCGTGCTGGAAGGATTATGGACTGTTTTAGTCACAACACAATTTGTCTCAGCCCGCTTGGCTGAGGGCTGACATCCTGGGCAGAGGACAAGGAGGCTGGGACCCCCCCCTGCAGAGTGGGGAGTGACCCAGGGGCAGCTGCAGAGGGGGGAGGGGGGCAGAAAGACATGCATGAGGGAGAGAAGGGGGTCCCGTACAGTATTTATAGTGTTTTAGGAGAGGAAATGACGACAGGAGTCATTGCATCTTACAGACAGCTGAGGCTGATCGAAGTGGGCTGTGGACATCCCTCCCGAACTCTCTTCAGAAACCCCATTTCTCAGCCTCCTGTGACTGTGGGCCCGAGGTCTCCTGGCCAGTGAGTGGTGTCCGGGCACTGCTGTTGCCAGTAGGCACACTGCTGACGGAGCACCTGTGGGCGCCAGGCATTAGGGCTTCCCTGCCAGCGTCTCGGTGGAACCCTGGTCGTCGCTTGTGTGACGCAGCCGAAGAATCTTACTTGTCTTTCTACTGCTCACCACTAGAGGGCCCCAGAGCCGCCTCATGCAGCCCTCCGGCTCCCCCCTGACAGCCTCTCATTTGCAGCGCTATATTGAATTCTCAGGCGAGGGCTTGTTCCTTCGTCTCCGAACCATGAAAACAGATTTCCATCTGAGGCGCAAATCTACGTGGTGCCTTGCTTCATTTTTTAAGTTCTATGCAATGCTGTAGATCTTAAACTAGCAATCCGTAACACTGGCGGTTTACTCCGTTAACTCCTCTCTCTGTGAGGAGGCCTGAGCTCCTAGTCCCGGAGCCACGAAGCCGG